AAAGTATGGCCTAGATAATCCAAAATTGAAAGATGCAACAAATGACATATGTGATTAAAAGTACTTTACATGCCACAAAAAATGCAGCATGTGTATTCCAAATGTGATTAAAAGTACTTTACATGCCACAAAAAATGCAGCATGTGTATGCAACATATTGATGCAACATATTCATCTATATTATTTTTATTTCTACGTATAATATATGAGTATATAATTAGTTGCACCGCATACCTGATAGACTACAACATAATCATTAACCTCAAGACTTGGCTCACCATATGACATCTGCTTGAGCATTAAAGAAGTAAAAGGAATAGATAAAGTTAATAAATAAATAGAGAGTATAATATATACTTTGATTTAGGGTCAGAGTGGAGAGCATAATTCGAATGTTGATAAAAAGAAAATAAAAGGTCTTCCAGTTTCAGTGACTTTCATGAGGCATCATCATCTCCATTCCTTTTCAAAATCTAACAATACATTCAACAACAATAAAGAAGAAGAGCCTAGTTTTATACTTTTTCATGCATATGTTGAGATTAAAATAAAACTAGGACTTTACATGCGATGCCTTCATACTTTTTCATACATATGTTGACATTAAAAAAACTAGTGACTGATTTTAATAAAATAGTTGTATGAGTTAAGATATTCTCCGTATGAGTCAGATCTATATAACTATAACTACTTGTACTCTCAAGAAATTAAGATTGTCAAAAGACTGCAAATTCAAATCTGCATCCTTATAGTTTTAAGGAATTATAATGCCAATTTTGGTTTCGTGAGAATAAAAAATAGGCATAATGCTCTATAAGAAACCATACATATAGTCAAATTAAGGTACAAGGTAATACTTAAAAATGGAGAGCACAATGCATAACTTAGAAAATATGAGCACATACCGCTCTATCTGCGACATGAGAAATATAGAAAGAGAGTTAGAGCACAACTACATGAGCCAAACAAAAGTGGAGAACAGAGAGCAGGTAGCTAGCTAGTATAGTAACAAATTTAGAAAAAACCAAGAATAAATTAGGAGAGAAAAAACTTACTTATCATGATAGATGAGACTCTTGATGCATGAAATCTGACGGCTAGGAGAAGTGAAAGGCCAACCACAGACTCTGCGATGCATATGACCTTATTTAAATACTGTGCAAAAGAGAATTCCCTGGACTCGTAATATGAATCTAGCGAGTTTGAATAAGTACCTATTCGTTTACTTATTTAGATCAAATGGATTTTACTAAAATTTGATATGTTTAGAAAATTTGGCAGATTCAACCATTCCAGCTAACATAAATCCAACAAAAACCACTCTATAATCTCACCATAAACATATATTATCCATGAAAGAACTTACAAACCTGACCAACACAAAGAGTCCTTACAGCAACATAAGTCCCCATTTGAAATATGACCAAACTTTTTTATTCAAAGCATGTTTTGAAAGCAACACTTCCTGCTTAATATTCTGAAGAAGAGGAGAAGTGATCAGTTGGTTTCATGAGGGATTAGACTGTCAGGGATCGGGAAGCAGCAAACTCCCATACAAAATCCTCTTAGTATGGAACAATATGCAGTAGCATTATGTTATTAAAAATCTAATTAAGAAAACCTGGCTCACCACCTGTCATGACATGTCAAAAAATAATACTATATCCATGAACATGGTTTAGTGTAATAGTAAAAAGAATAAATTCCATCCAAATCTGGCTCGCCACATGTCATCACCTGTCATACATTTAATATGAAAAAATGGTTTAATACAAGAAAAATTAACTATAAATGAAAAAACATTACCATTACTTATGAAAAGTGCATAGAGTTATTAGGCATGGGCAAGATCTTACAAGAGTCTGAAATTCTACCTTCCGGAGATTGTTGCACTGTTATACTTATGGAACCCTTTAACCACAATTATGTGCCTGGTTTAATTACAACCCCTATAGTGAATATGTTTGTAATCATTTCCTTTACGGAGCCACCATGGGTATGGCACCCTTGGACAGTAGCATCCCATTTCTCTTTATCTTTTAGTTATAATTCTTCCAGTGATTCTTCTATTAGGCTATGGTCCAGATGCCCCCCTACAAAATTGTTTTGCAGTTACATTTAGCAAAAGATGAAGATATACGCAGTGACTTTTCATTTTTAGTTGTTTATATTTCAACTATAAACTCATCATACCATATTTTTAGTTGACTTTTCATTACTGATTATACTCAACTGTATTAATCAGATTTTTATGATATATTGTAATATATACTCATTCAACCAAGCGAATCAATGAACAAAAGCATCCAGGCAAACCAGGCTTTAACCGGATAGAGACCACCAGTGCTCCAATGATTGACCACCGTAAGTGGGTTTTTTAGCATAGGGCTCAGAGATAATGGCCAGATGGAAAGCATCACCCCTGACCTGATTAGTTAATATCATTTAATATTTATAAATTAAATTGTTTCTTAGAGTATTAGATATTAATAGTTTTACTAAAGTCCGAACTCTACTATATAAGTTAATGTACTGATACCAAACAAGTCTTTGTTTACTAAATGATTTGTATACTTAGTTGATTATTACATGTTTTTTACTAACCCAATTCCACTCTAGATTATCTCTTCTATCATACATTTAATCAAAGACTTATCATATACGTTGGGTGTTCAAACTTACTTTAAAATTAAGAAGAAGAATATACTTGGTTGATTATTATAGGTTTTTTACTAACCCAAATCCACTCTAGATTATCTGCTCTATTGGACATTTCATCAAACACTTGGCATACATTGTAGTTATGGAACAATTCTACAATTGTGTCATTGTCAATAAAGACTGCCACACTGCCATATTTGTACGAATTCTTGCTATTATACCAAATAAATTAAGCAAAACAAACACTGCCACACCAAAAAATACATTAAGGAAAAAACATACTGATGAAGTTAAGCAAACATTGAACAGAGCATCAATAAATTGAACAAGGTCGATGATTAGGCAGTAAAATAACTACAAATTGCAAGTTCAGTGACAAACGGATACCACCTTATTTTGGATATTTGATAGAAAAATAAATAGATGCTGTCAATTTACTCCCAAAAGTTTGCGAACGTGATAGATATGGATAAGAAGGACGTTCAGGAGTAAAAAAGCAGATTACAGAGCTATATATAAACGAACACAAGCAACTCCTGTGTACTATAGTTTATTACTCTGTAAGATATACAATAAATTTGGTATTAAAGTGAATGTCCACCGATTACATACCTCAAATTTGTAAAAATCTGGAAAGCACTTTGACGAGAACGGAAGGGAACTTCGACGAGAACCGCTCTACCGGAATGAAGGTCCTTGATCGAGAGTGGAAGAAGGCGCTAGGGCTAAGGTTCGATGAGAATCGCTGGAAACTTGACAAGAATCGCTCGACTGGCAGAAGATCTAGAGGAAATATGCGTTAGGGTTAAAGTTCAATGAGAATCGCTCGACTTGCAGAAGGTCTGGAGGAAAAAGGTGCTAGGGTTAAAGTTCAACGAGATTCGCTCAAGCAGTGATGGGATAGGGTTCTGAGAAGGGCTGAGGAGTGGCGGGGATGTGCTGCCATTCGGTGACTGGCGAGAGTGAAGAGGATGAGAATATGAGATATGAAAAGCTAGGGTTGATCAATGTTTCTAAGTTAGAAAAAACTAAAATTAAATACGGAGTAACAAGTACGGAGTATGTGGGAGTGTCACTAATATTTACAAATGCAGTAATACTAAAATAGCTGATATATAAGTGTCAAAAAAATTCTTATGACATTCTAGTGTCATTAAACAAGTGTCACTGTAAGCTACTTTTCTAGTAGTGTGACCACTGTTGGGAGGAGTGTAAGGCGGAGTTGCCGCTGCTGGTCGGAGAGGGAAGTACCTGAATCGTGTGGCGCCAGTGGATTCATAGCTTGACTGAAGGTGGTTGATCCAAATCTGAAGAATCTGAATATGAACCTTCTAAAGCAGCAGCCTCTTCCTTCACTCACGGTGCTTGGAGGAACTCCATTTATGTTGTGACGCACAGTGAGGCGGGATCCGTCGTCTCCCAAGCAGATTTCATAATTTCTAGATTTTTTTGTGTATTTTTTGATTAATTCCTACTAAAGTGACGTGAGAGACAATAGAGTCTCTCAATGAAAGCACCAATGTTGGTCCAAAATAGGACGCTCGTAGGCTTTTAGGAAAGCTACGTACGACACTCAAGCAGGAAATCAGGAAAATAATGTGAATAAGGAAAGAAGCTAAAAGTGTTTAGTTGCCAGAAATAGCATATAGAAATCACTCCCTCTAATTTGAATGACAACCCGCCTTTTATAGGCGTATACAAATCGTAACCGCTACCGATAATAATGACTAATTAATTACAACATTAATACAGAATTAAGTACATAATTAATAGCACATTAATTGCTGGACCGTTACTCTTCCGGACTGGGAGGTCGGCCGGACTGGCAGGCTCCTTGCTGGGCTGGCTGACAGGTTCCAGGTTGTGGACTTGGATCCACGGGCCCAAGTTCGGGGCTTGGGCTGATTAGCAGGGCCGGTCCCGAGAAAACGGAGGCCCTGTGCAACAATAAAATTTGGGCCTTTTTTCAAGTTTAAACGCAAGCAAATTGTCTTACAATACAAGTTACTAATAAACGTAATAATTAAAATGAAAAACGTCATTAATAACTTACAGTTTATTTAAAAAGAGACATTCTTCGAGCATATTTAGATGCGAAGTCATCTACCAAACTTGCAATGTCAATCTCTTCGAGTGTTTCAGATTCTATGGATATCAACGCCAATCCATTGAGTCTCTCTTGTGACATAGTTGACCGCAAGTAGGACTTCAACAACTTCAACTTGGAAAAACTTCGTTCTGCTGATGCCACTGTAATCGGAATGGTTAGCAAAACTCTGTACGCAATAAAGACATTTGGAAAACAATTCATTTCTTTTAAAGAATTCAAAATTCTTGTTGCCCCTATCTTTTCCTTTGGCAAAATCTCTCTAAGCAACTTCAGCTCAATATACAAATCGTGGCCATCAACATCGCTGCATTGCCCATCCCTCTGCAGTACTGTTTGTAAATGAGTGCAAGATGACTCCAAATCTAAATCCGTAAGAGATTGTAACTTCTCAGAATTGAACAAAAACCCAAACATATTTTCATATACTTTGTATTGCTCAAACCTCCGTGTCAATGAGCCAATAGATTGATCAACTATGTAGACAAAGTATTCCACTCTGAACAGCTCTTCTGGTGTTGATGTGGATGATACAGAAGATTCACCAACACTCTCATCAAATTGTTTTTTTCTGCGAATTACACGCTTCTGAGGAAACACTGGTTCAACTTCCAATTCACTGGCTATTTCTTTAGCCACATGCATAGCACTAGAAAAACCAGTTTCTCTATACTTCTCAAAAAAAGAAATTAGCCCTTTGACTTCAACAATAGCAACATCAAGAAGCATATCTTTTGCTTGTAGATTTTTGCTCACCAAATTAACAGCATATAATATTTCATACCAAATAACTGTAGCAAGCAAAAATTCAAAATTACAAAGATCATTTGTAGCTAAGGATCTAGCTTCACTTTGTATTTTAGAATCATTGTCTGTCTCGGCCAATTCTAGCAATGCTTCTCGAATGTCACTTATTTGAAATCTTATTGCTTTGATACTTTCCACACGACTTTCCCACCGAGTGGTTGATAAGGATTTTAGAGTCAATCCTTGGACATTGTTTTTTAAAATTTGCCATCTTTTTGTAGAATTAGCAAAGAGTGTGTAGATTCGTTGCACTACTCCAAAAAAATCTCTTGCTTTTCGAGAACAATTAGCAATGTCACACAAGGTCAAATTAAGGCTATGACTACCGCAAGGAGTATAGAATGCCCTAGGATTTACATCCAAGAGTCTTTTTTGCACACCTTGATGCGTACCTCTCATGTTTGATCCATTATCATATCCTTGTCCTCTAACATTATCAATATCAAGATCAAGAGACTTTAACACACTTTGCAACACTTCAAAAAGGCCAAGTCCTGTCGTGTCATTCACAACCAAGAATTCCAAGAAAAATTCTTCTATTTTAATCGGATAAGAGGAGATATCAACACATCTTAATATCAAAGTCATTTGTTCTTGGTGACTCGAATCAGGAGTACAATCAAGTATGACAGAAAAATATTTAGATTCTTTGATTGTTTTAATGATCTTAGATTTTACTCCTGAAGCAAGCATCTCTATCAATTCATTTTGAATCTTGTGACTAAGATAATGATGATGAGTATCCTTATTGTCGACGCGACGAATAAGCTCTTGAATAACAGGATCAAATTCACCCAGCATCTCAATTAATCCTAAAAAATTCCCATTATGATTCTGATGGAGCCGCTCATTCGTTCCACGAAAGGCCAAATTATGCTTAGCAAGATATTTCACAGTTGCAATCACCCTAAACAACAATTGCCTCCAAAACTCTTTTTCTTTCAAAAGTTGATCATGAGCTACTTTATCAATTGTCTCATTTTTTTTGTAATCGAAGTCTCAACTCTACCCAACTCCTCATGTTACCCATATGCTCCACACTTGTTTCATGTTCTCTCAGTCTAGCACTAAGATGTCCCCAATCATCAAAATCCGTATTAGCTAAAGAACCTTTGCCTACACCTTTTCTAAAAATCTTACAACAGAAGCAAAATACCCTATCAAGCTCCTTTGAATAAACAAGCCAGTCTCTATCACATTTCTCTCCATTAGGCAAACTTCTAGTGTAAAAAGCTGATGAGAATCTTCTAGAGAATTTATCTTTAGGCCCTTCCACAAAATTTAAATCTCTTTTAGGACCATTCTCTACCAAGGTGTCTGTCAACTTTGAATCTAGAGCATCCCAGTTTCTTGGATCATATATGTCAAATAAAGCAGAATTATTTGGCCTATCATCTAAAACATCAATTCTGTGGTCCTCTTTATCAGAATTCTCAGCCATTTCGTTAACACATTGAACAGGTATTTCAACATTATTTTCAACATTCACTTCTTGTTGTTCACCCTCTTGAACATCTCTAATTTCTTTAATACTAAACTTATCAAGAGCTCCTTTTTGAGATTGGGTTAACTCCTCAAGTCTTCTTTTCCTTTGACGCTTTTCATGACCGGATTGGTATTTATATGGAAACATAATTATTACCAATTATTGAAATTCTCCTATAATCCTGTACATGTTTATAAATTTTAAATTAATATTAAGTTTAAAATTAGGGTGAAAGCATGATTTACTTTAAATGCAAAAAATCAACAAATAACAACACGACAATTCAACAAACATTAAATCTGAAAATAAACAAATTACAAGATTTCAACAAACAATTCATCAATTCAAATATTCAATAAATTGAAATTTCACAAGAATTAGCAAATTAGCAACTAAATGAATAAAAATTATAAAAGAATTAGCAAATTAGTAACTGACCGGAAGGACGGCGTCTGAGGGAGGCCGGAGGGCGGTGGAGCCGCGGAGCCGTGTCGGACTGGCGGGACTGCGCGCAGCGGCGCAGTTGAAGGACAGAAGGAGACAAGGAGTCGTGGTCCTCGACTCCTGGCGGACGGCAAGGCGGCGTGGGCCGCGTGGCGGACCTGCGGGCAGACGGAGTGACGGGGCAGGGGACCTGCTTTGGCCTTTGTCGTGAACGACGAGGCGAAGACCGAAGAGGCGAAATAAGGAAGACCGAAGAGGCGAAGACGGAGTGACGGGCCACGGGAATTGAGGATTTTGAGGGCTGGGAATTGATTTGGGCTAAAATTAAAATTTTTGGGTTGGGTAATACTAAATTTTTTTTTTTGGGCCCTCCAAAATACCGGGCCCTGTGCAATCGGGCTGGGCAGACAGGCCCAGGGCCGGCCCTGCTGATTAGACTCTGGGCCTAGTCCCATAACTCCATCAATAATAATAATAATAATAATAATAATAATAATAATAATAGTGTTTGTTGCCTATTGTTTCTATGTGTTTCTTTTTGTTTATAATTATAATTTTGTTTTTTGTTTTATTATTGTTTGTTCATGTTGTTTACTTTTAGAAACCTACACCAAAGGCCAGGGCGGTGGAAAATCTAAACGCAATTAGATTGGGGAGACATACCGTACCTCTATTTATACGAAGTATATAGTTATCTCTACGGGTTTTGTTTAAAAAATATTATTAAAATAAAATTTATTTAAAAAAATATGATTAATAGTTACTTCATTTAGTTTGGTAACTTAACTTTAAAATTTGAACATAAATTAATATTCAATATGATTTATTAGTTCGTGATTGACTTTATAAGAGTTTAACAATCACAGTTTTATTATTTAAATTTTTAAAAGCTAGGCGGAGAGGTGACAGCTGGCGCAGGATTTGACATGAAGCCATATAGTTGAACTAATTAGTTTAATTAATTCTTCTAAAAAAATTGTTAAATTAATTATGAGAAATTTTAGTGTACCTCAATTAACAACTAAAATATAGCAATTAATCTAAACCATCTAAATATTAATAAATATTTTAAGTATGGTACCCTCATTCATTTGCAAGGTAATGAATGTAACACTAACCGATAATTAAATAATTGATACAATGATAATTGAAGGGGTGTTCGATATACTTCTTAAAACTACGTTTGCTCATTTAGGAAGAAGGAAATTGAAGTGTTTGGATAAAAGTGCAGAATTACTTCTTGGTATTACAAAGTGCTCATAGAAGCAGTTTTTTAGAAGGCGAGAGAGATCTACTTCTGAAATATGCATTCTAATTCTACTTCTACTAATCTAATTTAAAAAAAGAAGCATATGCATGATCAATTTCAAACAGCTTCAAAAATAGCGAACGAGTTTGATCGCGCACCCCACTTTTTATGTTATATCGGTCCTTGCACTCCATTTTCATAATCATTAATTTGTGCACCCTGTTTAACATAAAATCTTGACCTTTCACCCTCATTCCTTCACAATTTGTGAGTTGATGGAGTGAATATATACGTTAATGATTTTGAAAATGGGGTGCAAAGTCCGATATAGACCAAACAATGCATTGTGAAGTGAAATTTCCTTAATAAAAAGGAATAATCGACAAAAATTATCCCAACTATTAGTGATCTGTCTTAAATAATCCAAAGTATCAATTATCTCAAAATAATCACAACTATTGAAAAAACTTCACAAAATACTCCAGTGATTTATAATTATCCATAAATAACTTATGATATTTTTGACTAAGTCGAGTACTTTGAGAAGATTTTTTAATAGTTGAGATTATTTTGAGATAATTGATACTTTGGATTACTTCAAGCAGATCACTAGTACTCCGTAGTTAAGATTATTCTTGTCCATTTTTTCTAATAAAAACATGTGGCGTATATATAATACTCCCTCCGTCCCTCAATACTTTGCCATGTTTGACCGGCACGAGAAATAATAAAGTAGAAATTGTGTGGTTGAGAAATGTGCAGAGGAGAAAGAAATGACAAGAACCACAAATTCATTGATGAAAAGGGAAAGTGACAAAGTTTTTGGGACATCCAAAAAAGGAAAGATGACAAAGTTATAAGGAACGAAGAAAGTATATATGATGGTATGGATGATGAAATTAAATATGGATGGAATGGCCACAGCACTTATGTAGGTACGGTACGGAAAATGGGCTAGAGATGGATTCGATCTTGGAGCTAAACATGGTATGATCTTTTATATGTTCCGGTGAGTCTGAGAAAAACTTCTTTTCTACTTGGGATGAAAAGTGGAAAGAAAATCTAGGAGCTCATGTGTTGAAATCTAAGCTAACCCAAACCTGACCTAATTCCACTCATTACCCATCATTTCCTAACCTTAGCATGCAAAAGCACTGAACCAACATTCAACTCCGATCCATCTTTTTAGCTGCACGGCTAAACCCTAATTAATCATAGCATTCAACACTATCATTTCCGATTTAATTTCCAGCTGCTTCTACCTACATGCATACGTGACTACTACTTCATTTATAACTCATACTCTCCCAGGCCAAGCATTTAATTATTTTCTGTGTCAAACACTTTTTCAACTTTTTATACCTCATCTTTTAATTTTATCTACAACTTTATCTTTCACTTTTTATGTTCCTTTTATGTAATACGTAGTACAATCACAATGCAATCCATTATCACAATGCAATCCATCGAGAGAAATGAGAATGAATATGACGTTTTAGATTTAAAAATTGTGCATTATTTGAAATCGAGGTGTGTAATTGCATTAATCTGGAACTGCGTTGGCATTTTTGTAAATACCTAAATTGAATCTTTTCTCCCATTGTGTAATTATCTTAACTACAAATGTGCATTATCACCGTGAACTAGACCGTGCACCATTATAGATCATTCACGTTTTTCACTTGAACGGTCATACTCGCCAGATTTAGAGGATGTTTGGATCTACATCTTAAAACTGTTTCCGCGGAGCTGATATTTGAATTGAATGTTTGGGTGAAACTGCAAAAGTAATTCTGGGTGCAGTGCTCCAAATTGCTCATAGAAGCAATTTTTTAAAAGTTGGGGAGACTAGCTTCCAACTTAAAAATTATTTCTCATTCAGTTTTTAAAAAAGAAGTAGAAGTATAATCAATTCCAAACACCCCATATATAGTTAGTACTACGTATATGAGATACTTTCTTTCATGTCGGTGTTTTAAGGGATACTAGTCCTGATCAAATTGATGCTGAATTTTAAAGTTTAGTTCAACCAACAATAAGTAGGTCAAAATTAATTGTTTTTTGAAATGTAGAATGAGTAGAATAAGCCAGAAATGTATACCAAATGCCCTCTTCGAGGCCGTTCGGCTAGCTTTATCTTTTTTTAACGGTACATCAACTTCTTAAATTTATGAAAAACATAACTTTTCGTGCTTATTAATAATATACTCCAATTAAAATTTAAAAACACTTAAAATCCTATTTATGCACTTTAATTAACTTTTAATGGGTAGTGTTATTTAGAGCAATTACTATTATTTCTATGCATGGGTGGTAAGTGGAAGATGTGTTAATTTAATTAGGGTGGTATAGGTTGGGGAAAAAATATAATGGTCACAGTAGATGGAGTATATTTTGTCGTTATAAATGATTTAGTTATTGGAAATGCAAAGAAAAATGACATAAAGACCAGCACACATCATAAAGAGGGCAGTGAGGAACATCCTCTGGAAGTGTTTCCTAGAATTAGCAAAAGGTATAAGCTGGCAGTACAATGGTTCCGCTTTTAGTACCGGAGACACCAAAAATAGGGGACACTTCCTACTAAGTGCACCCCATTCACATTTCCTTCTTCTGGCTTTCATTTTTCTATTATGGTTTCTGCCACCTGTCACCTCAGTCCCCCCACCCCCACCCTCACACCCATGCTCACTCCCCTCCCTAATAAATAACCTTTCAACCCTACAATATCTCTACTTCAATTCACTTTAATTTTCTGTTTCAATTTACTTTGATCCAAAAAAGGTGGAATCTCCCACCCCAGGAGCCCCCTACCTCGACTCGACAGGATGGTGGGGAAATTAGTCACGGTGACTCAGTCAGCAGAATGACAGTAGGTCTATATACTCGTGCACATCAGAGGTCCAGTCTTATTTCAGGTTCTGTGACCTTCACCCGGTCGCTGCGGGGATTCGAACCTTAATCCATTGATCCAAATCTCCTACCACTCGACCAACTGAGCTACCTGTGCGGGTTCTGTTTCTATTTACTTTTATTGCCATATTGTAGTTTTTATTTTTTTAAAAAACCTTTTTATACATTCCATTTGGAAACCTTGATCATTTCTAGTTGTATTTTAGGTGTCAAAAAGATGGTCAATTGGTAGGTGTCACAATGGATAAGTCCCTAATTAATTGGAATCCAAACAACTATGATAAGAGCTTACTATTTGAAAGTACAAATATTGTCTGTACCTACTTGAACAAGAATCCCATTTTCTATCTGCTAACTTATGTTTAAAGTTCAATATACATATTTCAATTAACTAGCTATTCGACTAGTTCAATATACACTATCAAACTTTATTTACAACATCCATAAAGCGCTTTATGAAAATCAAGTGATTATACTTTATGCACATACTTATAATTTGACATTTCTTGATTATGAGAAATAATCTGCGTCCACTTCTTAATCTTGTCAATCAATGATTAGATTATGACATGCTAAAATCCGTTGAGTTATATCTCCGTTGGAATAATAGAATTAAACGTTGTTACACTGCTAATTCCCAATCATTTCAATTCGCAGATACTCCCTCCGTCCCATATTTAACTCCGGTTTTGACCGGGCACGGGTTTTAAGATAATGGGATTTGTGTGGTGGAGAGTTATGCAGAGGAGAGAGAAATGTGTAAGAATGGTTGTGAACCACATATTCTTTACCAAAAAGGGAAAAAGGAGATAAATTTGGGACGGACCGAAAAGGAAAGATTGAAGATAATTCCGGGACGGAGGGAGTATAGTTGAGCAGTTTATTCCCCCAATGCCAAACTGACATTTTGTAAAACGGTCCATTCGTATATGAAAGATTATGTTTGGTTTTATTACTTTTATACTTATTGAGTCCTAGCTTAGTAGTAATAATTTGAGTTTCATACTCCCTCCGTCCTGAATTGAATTGCAAATTTTGACTCGCATAAGGATTAAGAAATGATAATAAATGATGCTTGCCTTTTACACTTTTGCTTATCTTTCTAAAAGTAGATGCCTTTAAGTTAATAGGGGAAAAGTAAAAGTAAGAGTAAATTTGTCACTTTATTCTTATTTACATACCTAAAATAGAAAGTGGAAAACCATTTTGGGACAACCAAAAAAGTAAATTTTGCAAATCAAATTGGGACAGAGGGAGTATTTTTCAGCCCCACCTTAACAGTTCATATATTTATTTATTTACCAGTTCCATTCTAATTTGACTATTGTGGTGTTCGTGTACATATATATTTGGCCAATATTATATGAAAATATGTCCTAGCTAACAAAATTATACTTCATATACTCCCTCCGGTTTTGAAAAATCTTTACACTTTCCTTTTTTAGCAGTACCAGAAAGATCTTTACACTTTCTTATTTGTCTTATTTGGCAAATAAATCTACACAAAACAGTGCCAAACAGTGCGAAACAGTGCCAAACAGTGTTTATTTCCTTAAAACTGTGAAGTCAAAGTGTCAAGATCTTTTGGAATCGGAGGGAGTATAATAGTTTAAATATGTGAAAAAATTGGGGAGAGGAGAAGACTGGGTGAGAGACTTAGCATTAAAATTTGACTGTTCGAAAATACTTTACACCACATATTTTGAGAAAGTGCATTGTTCGGTGCAAAAATCCCACACAATTTTCCGTTGAAAAACTAGCAAGTTGAACTAAAAGTAAGAAATGGAGTATTGTAGTATGTAGGTCTAGCTCCCTTCCACTATGATACTGAGATAAGAGAAGGGGCACGATTATTAAGGAAAAAAAGAGTTTTTGTGGTTGATTTTAAATTGATAAAATAAGAATAAAGTAAAAATGATTTAGAGTCACACAAACCTTACCAAATTTGGTATGAGACAATTTTTGTGGGATTTTTCGAAAAGGTAAAATGGGATCATCTTAGCGCGGGACGGAGAAAGTATTATACTACATCCGTCCCACTAACATTGAGAAAAGAGGGAGCGACACAAGTATTAAGAAAAATGAGTTTATGTAGCTGATATTGAATTAATAAAGTAAGAATAAAGTAAAAGTGATTTAGAACCACACAAACTTTACCAAATTTCGTACTCCGTATAAGACAATCTTAGTGATATTTTTCGAAAAGATAAAATGAGACAATCTAAACGGGACAGAAGAAGGAGTACTGCGTACGTAGTGGATAGTATTATATTATACGAGTATATAATTACTCCGTATTACATTAACTTTATATATTTATGTTCCCATTTCTCTCAAATTTTGGGTGGTCATGTGAATTAATAATTGGATCCGCCAGTGACTGAGCTGCCCCGTAAGAGTCCGGTGAGAGGCGACAGTTGGAGTAAAAGGTTTGGACTTTTAGATGCTCTACTTGACATGAAAAAGCAGAAGATACTTGCTCGTTCACTTTATTTTGGTGACTTTATTAGGTTCCCATTTGTTGTTTTCATAAATTTTATGAAATAGATATATGCGATTTCCATAAAAATATTTTTAATTGTACAGCAAAGCCAACAATTTATTGATTAATTATTAGTAAAAAATTATACGAGCTAGCTAGAATGTGAACTAGCTGCTATATAACTTGAGTATGTAATTTTAAAAATGGGTTCAAACTTCTATATCAATTAACAAACAAATCTAGAGTTATGTTCAATTATGTATAAAAAAGATGAAGCAAAATAATGAGATACAAGGTTTTTAAAAGCTGGACTCCATTCGTGAAATTATATGATTTTACAACTCGATCTACACTAAAAGTCGATTTAAATTGCGGGTAATTAATATTGTAATTTGTAATTAAACTCATAAATTAAGTAAAATAGTTATAGAATCATACAAAGTCGTTTATAATCATATAAAATTAAATTGTATAGTAGGGAGTTGGCAGTCATGATATTTTAGTGAAAATGGTTCCAGATCCTTAAAATTAACTATGAGATTTTAGTATATAATCCCTATAGTAATAAGATCGGTAATATATTTAGTGAATTGAAAGTAACTGGAATTTGTATTATTCAATTATTTTTTAGTTTTACGTACATTTAATGTTTATTATTCACTAATTTAAATCTTTCTACTTGTGTTTCTATAAAAAGATTTGATTTTCAAAATCTTGATTCAATTCAAAAATATGATTTTAACAACCTTGAGAGAGTGGTCACTATTTTCCTTTTAAAACATAGAATGAAAGATTGATTTTAATTAAACATTAATAATATGTAGTACAACTCAAAATGAGTAATGTAAATAGGCAAGGAAATACATGTAAGAATGTTTTCATTTAGAAGGTCTTAGATGCGACAAGACGAGATAACAAAATGAGATCAGATCAAACCAGACTCAAATAAGACTAAAATGAATAAACATATTTAAAACATTTATTAAACCATATAAGGTGAAATCAAGGTTAAACAAATCCGACTAGAAGTGAAATTAAAACATCTTTAAAAACTCTTAGTCGTAGCATATCATGTTCTCATAAGTCATAACCACATAGGTAATTAGTTTGGTCAGCAAATACCTTTCAACCCAACTCTATCCAGGCCCCCACCAAAAGAAAATAAATTAAAGCAAAAAAAAAAAAACCATACTCCGTAATAATTTCCTAAAAGCGACTTATATACTACACCTCCTTATTTAAATTCCCTAGATCTGCAAGTGTGAAATAATATGGGCTATGTTTTCCATCTGCTTTCTTGATTTTTGCTAGCCCAGAGAGTCTACACACACTTCTATACCTCATGAACAAAAAGGCTGTCATGGAGAGAATTAGCAGCACCAATAATAGGAGAAACAATGATGCAGGAAGAAGCATGAGAGACATCCACAAGCTTAGAGATGACAGCAATGGAGATTTACTGGCTGGGTTTTCATGGCCTCCAAGATCCTACACTTGTAGCTTCTGTAGAAGGGAGTTCAGATCTGCTCAAGCTCTTGGTGGCCACATGAATGTTCATAGGAGAGATAGGGCTAGGCTGAGGCAATCCCCCCCACCCCCAAGAGAGGGTCACCATCACTTCTCCTCTTCTTCCTCTTCTTCCTCACTTCTCAACCTCAATCTTGACCCTATAACAGCAAACCCTAACCCTATTTACTCTCCACCACTGAGGGCCTCACCCCCTTCACCCCCTCCATCATCAAGAAAGTTCCCATGTTTTATTCCCACATTGCCCCCATCTTTGGTCCCCTCCTCATCTGTTGAAATGGGGAAATGGAGCAAAGTGGAGGGCATTCCAGTCAACCATCACTTTGTGACAAATTATAGGGTCAAAGGTTACAAGAGTGAGCTTGAGGTGGTGATGAAGAAAGGAGAGATTGCTAAACTGGACTTGAAAATTGGGTTTAATGAAGATTTGGATTTGGAGCTTCGACTTGGATGCACTTGATCATATTAATTGAACTATTTCATTAATATATATGAATCTTTATTCCTAACTTCCTAAGGTATGAGATTAACTTTTGTGAATATACTAGTACTTCTTTATGTCTTTAATTACCATCAAAAGTTTGACAATATTTGACCCTTCATTTTATGTGTGCATGTTCATTCACTGGATAAATGCACAATTTACATAACAGCTAGGAATGAAGTGAAGTTCATCAGCAGAAGGGAGATATGTGAAAAGAAGAGTAATTAATCAGAAGACGCAATTCTTGAATTAATGAGTTACGTTGTTTAATTTGGTTACTTCTAGTTCAATTTTTTAATTCTCTTCCTCAATTGAATCTTCGCTTCCATGTGAATGCTAGATTTACTGTTCCGAACATATCTATATATGTATGTAGTAGCTAGGATATTAGACCATGATCGAGTATAGCTATGGTCCTAATTATGTTTTAAAATCCTTAATTAATTGCTGAAATAATTACATACGTAGTATATGACTAAAATTAAGGCTTTTACAAAAATGTATTTTAACATCATAAATATTGCGATTATAATAGTAATTTTAATCACATTAACTTATGTTCAATTTTTACATTTAAATGACCGTAAGAATTTTACATTTAAATGTCTGTAAGAGTATATTATAATATTTACTATTAATTATATTTTTGTAAATAAGTTTAATTTCAATAATATTGTTTTAAAAATAACAATCGCTACATATATGGTTTATTTTCACCATGTAAAGAATTGAATTTACGAAAAAAATTCTGATTGGTGAAGCACAAGAAATTCTCACCTGTCATACACAAATTATAGTAACATTAGACTGTTCTAAATTTTTTTTATCTACAAGGGTACTCTATATTTGTTCTATCTACAAAGTACCAAGTGGAAGTTGTATTTATGTGTTAAAATTTTCACTTTTGTTAGTATAAATTATATTTTGTAGGTCAGAAATAAATAAATTTGTCACGTGATCTTTTCTTATATAGTACGTAATATCTGCGGTGTCTAGCTTAAATGAACATATGTATGTAGGTTATAACATCATGCAGAAATTAATATTACATTGGGTTACGTTTATAGTATGTCCTACTCAAGAGTGTTTGATATTGATCAGACTAATTAAGAAACAATTTCTTAGAAACTCATATACTAATACATGTATGATTTTAAAATGAACATATAATTGAGGAACTTCAAGTAACTACATAATATAATACCTTTTCACAGTTAAAGTGTTTTTGGTAACTCTAAACTACGGAGTATCTTTTAACAAACTATTTAAATTAAGGAATTTTATCAATTCAATACCCGAAAGATAGATTAATTATCAATTCAGGACCCGAAAGATGAAACATATCGGTATAAGACCCGAATGATGGGAAACTATCAATTTAGGACCTAATGTTCCATAGGTTTCGATTTATTTAACTTTTTATTAATTCATTTACTAATTTTTGATAAACTTTTCTTCACAAAAGTTTATTAGTTTAATAAAACTAAATAATATTTAAAAATTTTAAAATAAAAAATAAAATAAAATTTATGACAACTTAGGTCCTAAATTAATAGCTTTCAATCATTCAGGTTCTAAATTGATAGTTTTTCATCATTCGGGTCCTATATTAATGCATTTCATCTTTCAGGTCCCGGATTGATAATTCGTCTATCTTTCAGGTCCTGAATTGATAAAATTCCTTAAATTAAACATCTTTGACAATAATCCTGTTTGTAGCACCAAAGTTTGTTAAATTATGATATATATATATATATATATATATATATATATATATATATATATGTAAGCGATCAAATACAAATCATGTTTAAAATACTAACCTACAAACTCAATAATATGCATCAATTTGAACTTCAATATGCAGTACATATAATGTAAAGATGCAGGGGTGAGATCACATAAAAACTAGTCCTCCCATTCAAATCATCTTTACATTATTTGTATTGCACATTGAAGTTCAAAGTGTTTCATATTATTGAAGCCATAAAATAGCAGTTTCATATTTACATTATTTGTATTGCATATTGAAATTCAAAGAGTGCATCTTCACATTATATATTTGTACTGCATATTGAAGTTCAAAGTGTTGCATATTATTGAGTTTGTAAGTTAGTAAGTTAAGCATAATTTGTATGTGATCTCACCCCTATATATATGTGTTCGTACATATGCATGTTTTTTTTATGTGTAGGACAAATTGGGAATGAGATTTTTGTATTTATTTATAAATAAAAACAGGAGGCTCTTTACATTCATTCCAAGAAAATATGAAGCAACTTGAAACCGGACTTGGAAAACAATTTAAATCAAAGCTTTCTCACTAATGCAGTAAAATAATGGGCGCGATAGTTAATTTTGAAACGAGAAGATTTCTTCCAAAAAGAATATTAAAAACATGCTAAATACTAGGTAGAACTTGACACAGAGAAATGCATATAGTGCAAGTTTAAGTAAAGAATTGACTTTTTACTAATGTAAGCATAGCCACTCGATCGGTAATTATGGCTCAAATAAATGTAAATTGGTAGTGTAAGAGAACAGAACTCGCACGGGTAGTTCAATTGGTTGAGTGGTGAAAAATTTGAATTAAGGATGAAGGTTCGAATCCCGCAGCGACCGTGTGGAGGTTACAACCTCTGAAATGGGCTCGATCTCTGGTGCGAACAAGTATATGGGTCTACTGCAAATTCGCTGATTGAGTTACCGTGATTTACATCCTTCTATGTGCAGTGCCGGGTCGGGACATAGGGGACTCCGGAGGTGGGAGATTCCACCTTTTCTGGATCATGAATCATGAGAACATCAAAGAGTTACCGAGTATAAAGATGCTTCAAACGAGTACTACCACTAAGCATTTCGGACTGATCAGTGTCAACTCAAATTGATAACATTATTAAATATAACACTTTTATGGATATGGTATATCCGCCGGACCATGAAAATCAAGTTCTTTGGTTCTTTACTACCACTCCTATGGTATACTCTAGCATTAGAAAGTGGAAACATGTTAATTTTATCCGGGGACGGATCCAGAATTTCGAGTCAAAGGGGGCGAAAATTTTCGTTAGTGTAGGAGATAAAAAATTCATTAGTCTCCTATGGTGAATTTTTTTCTAGTGTAGCGGGGCGAATTTTTTTAAGGCTCTGCGGCTATTTTTATTCAAAAAAAATTCATTAATACATACGTGACGACATTTAAATCTATATATTACATTCTAAGTTTAGACAATGACAAAATAACTTTAGATTTATAATTGGAGTGTTCTAGAAAAAAGTATTGATAGATTAAAGCATAAGAAATGACAAATCAATGGAAAATAATACAAAAATATAAAAGGATATATAACATTTTATTTAAATATAAAGAGTTTATAAGGTTCACATTCACGAGTACTTTTAAAATAATTTCAACATTATTTAACTACATGAGTCTTATAGAAATAAAGAATTGATTTTTGAATTACAATTTTTGTCTATCACTGAGAGTGTTCATAAGTCACAAGCAGTTCTTTTAATATTACAATAGTATGCATGATATTATTATTTTTAGAATAATATTATATTGATAATTCATATATATAGTGCATATTATATTTGTATTAATGCTAAAATAATTAAAGTTTATTATCTATGCAATAAAGTCTTTTTAGAATGTAAGAAGTAAATGAATAGTGTAATTCAATGTCAATAAACATTTATAATTTGGATTACTTCACATGATCTAAAAACTTTGTAGCTAGAGTGTCTGGTATTTAATATCGTTTAATATATATTTTTCAAAATTGTTTACTAGTTATCGAATAAAGATAATTAAACATTACAAAACTAAGAATTTTTATATAATAAGTATCCTAAATCTCAAATAATGAGTTCTTCTATTGTTTATTTAAGTTATGTAAATTATTTTAGATGTTCCTTTTTTAAATCTCCGATTAAGTATTACTATGTAAGACTATATATCAATTTTAAAAATTAAAAGTTAAGGGGGGCAATGTTCAACAAAAAAATTAAGGGGGGCGAATCTAATTAAAGTATCAAAATTTTACAAAAACATTACGTATATAGTAGAAAATTTTGAAAGTCCAAGGGGGCGGTCGCACCCCGTGCCCCCCTTAAATCCATCCCTGATTTTATCGGTAATCAAATGAATCAAGATATCCAGGCAAAGTACTTACTTCCTCTGTACTTGTGTGTTCTTATATGTGAGTGGTGTATGCAATATTCAATTATGGCTCTCAACGAGTTCGACTCGTTTAGGTGATAGGGGAGTTTAGCTTCGAGTGCGAAGCTCAACGAGTTCTATAAATGGGGTCTGCTTTCGGCTCCATAGACGTTCATTGTTTGATTTGAGCAATTGATAATTAAGCTCCATAAATATGACCTAGGATTTTTTACTTGGACCGTAATTTGCTGGTCTGGTCTGGTCTGGTCTGGTCTGGTCTGATCTGGTCTGGTCTGGTCTGAACTGATCTGGTCTGGTCTGGTCTGGTCTGGTCTGGTTTCTTTGTATTTTTATAACTATCCAAGTCTGGTCTGGTCTGGTCGGGTTTGATCTGATGATCTGGCCTGGTTCGGTCTGATCTGGTTTGGGACAAATTACAGTCCAAGTAAAAACATCTCTAATGTAAAAGTAGTTTATGATTGCTAATTAAGATGTTCGTGCTCAAATAATTTCATATGCACTCGAATCTTTAACAAAAGTAATATTGAATAATATATGAATCAAACACAATGATTATCAATCACTTACACAATTACCCTGAACTTTTTATGGATCTATGTTAACTTTCAAGTATCTCAACAAGAAAATGGCTTCATTAAGAATTTGTGATTGATTAACATATCCTTGACAAACTTGAGCCATGGTTTTGCCATGAAAAAATAAGCACAGAGTCATGACAAAAATGTGTCAATTCATGATAAATTAAGGTGAGACTCATTTTTTTGCAACGCAATAATATAAATTTCAATTTGTAAACTCATATTATTAAATAGATTTGTGTTGAATTGAACTAAGGAAAGAATAGTATAATAAATTTCAATTTATTAAATTTTGTTAAGGAAAGATTTGTGATGAATTGAATTAAGGAAAGAATAGTATAATGAATTAAACTCATATTATTAAATAGATTTGTGTTGAGTTGAATTAAGGAAATAATATAAATTTCAATTTTAATTTTGGCCTTTCATAGTATGATAATTTAACCGAAAGTCAAATCCCAAATTGTAAACGGTGTAGGCATTATTATTCAATTTATCATCGATTTTTTTTTTTTAATTTCTTTCATAAAAGCTGAATAATATTGTTTAGAACTGTATTATTGGATAATTGAACAATATATAGACATATACTAGTAATAGAACTGTATTATTGGATAATGTGTATCGCTTGAAACAGAAACTAGTAATATATTATTTGTGGTTAAAACTTGATCTATGCAGACTAGA